GCATCTACTACTGAAGAGGTTGGGAAGCCACCATTTGCGTGCAAAAACTTACTATACCACGCACTGTTAACAGGATATAATTCGAATATTATGATGAAAATAACCTTCAAACCCTTTTTTCGCCCTTCTCTAATCACTAGGGTGGGTTGTGGCTTCTTTGAAAATGTAGCAAAACCTTTCAGAATCATACCAGTGGTTTAATGTATGTGAAAAAGTAGGGAAACACTTTTTTGCATCTTTTAGGGATAATCATGCTATAACTTGGAAATTTAATCTAAACCTGTCTTAATTTGAGGCTTATCAAATCATATAATATGGGGATGACAAACTACTTGGAAAATTAAAAGAATTTTTTGAGAGACGAAGAGCAAGAAATTCCTCAAAAAATTCCTCCTTTTCACATTTTTCTAAAAGCCGCTCAGTTTTAGGTAGTGGGAAATATGAAAAAGAATTGGAAACGTTACCTTGCGGTAGACTCTGCTAAAACCTAATTTCATTTATGTGAAACACAATTATTCCAATCATAGTTAAGGCAATTAACACACTGATCACAACTCCTGTAACTTTGCTACACGGAAACATATTCGAGCGATGATATCTGCTATGAATGGATAGCAAATCCACCAGGAGTTGTTTCAAGCGCTCCGTGTCTTGCTCCAACCTTCTGCACCTAAGCTCTTCTTGTTTAAACCTGTTTTCAAAGATCCTATATTGCTGTCGTTGCTGTAACAACTCATCGCTTCGCTTGTCAAGCAATTTTCGCAAATCTTTGTGATGGTCTGCGGAGCCTCTTCGTCGCATCGAGGCCACCGGGAGACTACCTCGACGTCTTCGCTTCATGGCGAGGTCATAATTCATGTCTTCTGGTTTGCCTAGGAGAAAATAGGCTAGAAATCATTAGGTATAAAATAAAGTTCCACGTTAATAGTTGTTTCCATCTTTAGGTCAAACAAGGCTTCATTAGCTGCCCTGATGAATCACAGAGCAGCAGCTTATTTAATCAGAAAAGCTCGGAAAGAACTGAAAGAAGGACGTTCATTGACACATGTTTGAGGAGCTGAACATCACCAATTCTGACGAGCTAACCTCAAAGAAGACCAAACTTAAAATTATAGATTGATTGGTATACCTCCTTCGAAACTCCCGTCTGCATTCTCTTGTTCTTCGATGATTCCGACATCTTGAACTGCAGAGCTCCATTTATTTCTCAAAAGTATACTTTTCATCTTAGTTATTTCTTTCTGCAGCCTTTCGTTCGTTGCGTTTGCTGCATCTCGTTCTTTCCTCATCTGGTTAGCTCGTCCTTCGTGAGCCGTCATTACAATTTCCACTTCAGAGAGTTTTGTTAACAGGCGTTCAATGCACAGCTCTGCAGTGTCGCCGTCGTTCTGTTCCACAACCTGATGTGCTGATGGCATTTCCAGTAACTCGACTGTTTATAACAGGTAAGCATCGTAAGTTTCATAAGTACCGGACTTTTTTTCCGCGCTAAATCAATAACCTTTTCTCAACCCTGCCGCTTGCGATATGCGCCCTAATGGGAAGGGGGAAGGGGGAAGATAGGCGCGATGCCGGACTGCTTTCTCCTATAGAAAACAAACATTCGCATGAACGGTGTTGAAAAATGCACAGCAACTTAAAATTACATAAGATAGAGTTATTAGCACTCCTATGACTACAGCGACCATACCGTACATAAAGGGCATATCTGAAAACATCTCGCGCATCCTACAAACATTCAATATCCGCGTCGCTCACAAACCCATAACCACACTACGTCAGTTACTGACTTACGTTAAAGACAAAGACGAACCAAGGAACGGACTGGAAACAGTTTATAAGATCAATTGCTCCGACTGCCACGCCTCTTACATCGGTGAGACTGGCAGAAACCTCACAACTAGACTGACTGAACACAAACGAGCGACGAGGAAAGGAGATATCAACAATTACATTGCTGAACATCACCGACTTACGAACCACACTATTGACTGGGACTCTGCGCAATGCCTAACCTACAACACCAACTACTTTCAACGACTGACTCTGGAGAGCTGGTTTACTAACTTGGAACAGACTTCCCTCAACAGGAGTCAACCACTACCGGCTCCATACAAACGACTCATCCACGACATTAACATTACTAACGAACCGAACAAAACGATCTACTTTACTAACGGATCGAGACCGACTAATCACGACCGACCTACTCCACTTGAGTCTTACAGCCAATAACATCACGGCAAAACTGACCAATCAGTTTATACAAAGCAGACCAAGAACATTCGACTGACAGCAACTATTCACTTGACTCTGAAGATGACTATCGCTCGAGTTATCGAAACGTCAGCCACCACTACTAACAATAGTCCTTCTCAGGACTACACTCACCTGAACGATCAAACTACACTATTATATTATGTTTTCTATGCGAGAAACTGATTAAAAGCAACTTTCTACTTAAACAAAACGCTCTCCTTAACAGATACTACTTTTTTGATAAGGATGCAATATTCAAAGCACTAAGTCTTCAACCCTGTTATCACCGGTAACCAAAATTATCGCCAGGTGTTTCGCTCTGCTTGGAGCTCTCATCATGAAATTTCACTTAATGGTTTGTTTATCTACTTGTTTAATGTTCTGTTTTTTTAAAAAGGACTAACATCACGTTTTCTTTAGGATGTCGCTTATTCTTTTTCGTGAAGCCGCATAAAAAGGACTAACATCACGTTTTCTTTAGGATGTCGCATATTCTTTTAAATGATTTGCGACTAATTACACGAGATGCTTTCTAACTCCAATCTTCTTCAATGCTCCCATTAGTTTTATGAGTCGCTTTTCTTCATGCCTCAAAAGCCAATCTGGAAGCACATTCCAAAAAATATCAGCAAACGTCCTCATATGTTGCTTTAGTTAACCTAGCTTCGAAAAATTAAGATTAGAATTATGACTTTCACGAGCCTTTAAGACCTGAAAATCATTTATCAGTTCAATATGCATTTCCAAATTACTACAGTAAATTTTGGCTTTTTCCCACAGGATAATACAATATCTGTTTATTTTTAATACATGAGTCCGCATTTTGAAAAGCCAAACAAATAGTAAACTAAGCCATACTTTCCAAGAGCTTTATGCTTTAAATAGGAAAACAAATAACAGCTCTTGTTTACTGTGGATGCGTTTAGTACCTCAGAGCTAATTGAGAACATTGTAAACACATCGAGAAAAGGATAAATGAGACCGAAAACTCACCTTGTGGGAGGCAAACCTGTTGGCTATTTTCAACGCCCAGCGAGGGAGTTAAACTTGATACTACCTGGGCAACAACTTCAAATGCTGGAGAGAGGGAAGGATTTGAAATTGGGAATTTCCTCAATCTAGATCCGCTGATTGCCCTAGGCCATTTTGCATCTCAGCCAACGCAAAACATGGGTTTGTCGTATTTTTTACTGAGATGTAAACAAACGGACTGACAAGAGTAATATTAACGGGTGGAATTGTGAAGCTTAATTGATTTCATTAAAGCCAACAAGCATAAAATTATAACATCTGATACATTACAGAATTAACTGTCTTACTCTTTCGACATTTGCTTGTCTTATATGCAATAGTTGAGCTCGACTAATACTTAAAATGTCTTGACACATCTTGGTTTAAAATAAAGTAATTATGCTACAAACGTTACAGTTTACCTATGTTACCAAAATTATAATTTTTCCGACACAGACTTTTTTTGACCGACTTAAGTCCAAACATTTTGATGACAAGCTGTAAACTGCAGCCTCAATAATTTCCCTACCTCCTCAGCACTGCTTTCAATAATATCTGAAGAATAGATCCACCGCCGGCATATGACTGTAACGTGACGTTGAATATTCAAATGGCTACATACAGCCCTTGGCTTCGATTACAGGAAAGTCTTTAACCTCAGCCAAAGAGCAGGTGGAATAACATGTCATAGGAACTTAAAAAGATTCACCAAAGGGGAAATGCAAATATTTCAATAAGAATATGAATATTGTCTTTCATACCAAAGCGTAAATCATAGCAGCTTATTTCAATTTTATGCCAATTTTAGACTCGTCCTTAGGTCCGACAAAGAAGTCGAAGGAGTGTTTTATTTTTTAATCAAGATTGCTCTCGATAAACGCCGATAAACTCTTTCCTAGGGGGAACTTTTCATTTACCTTTCGACCACGAGGAAACTTTTCATTTTGGGTGAGGAGAGGTTTTAATAAAAGTATTTTAAACAACCTACGTAGGGGGTTAAGAAAACAAGTTATATCGGCACTGCAGCTCTGTGAAACTAATAAACAACGTGATTCTGACGGACATGAAGAGTCACCGTAATGAAAGGAACCCACTGGATTTACATAACATACAGCGGCCATTTAGAGATAAAAGCTGCCGAATATTCACTGGATTCTTTCCTGGCGTTCGCTTTCTCTATTTGTTTTGTTTCACGTGAATGCAAAGATATTTACCTCCCTCTTAACTTCACATTTTCCCTGTTTAGACTTGCAACAGTCAGAATTTTACCACAATTTAACCTTCATGCAATATACATTTAAGTCGTCCATCCATGATTACTGGTGGACAAAACAAGCATGATTTTGTGAGGGTATATGTCTTTTTCAATTTAATGCGCGTTAGGTTATTCCAAACGGGACTAAAATTCTATCAGCTCTGTCAAATTGAGGCCTTCGAAATTATCTGTAGATCGATGTCGCCCCCATTCTTGTGCCAGTTTTCACATGATAAAAAGATATGAAATTTCACCCCTTCCAGTTCCGAAGAGTGGAGACATCCAAGTCTGTATGGAGACGCAGTGGCTAAACAGTTAAATTGCTGGACTCCGGGTTGAGAGGTCCGGTTTGGAAACCTAGCTGGGTCATTGTGATGTAATCTTGGACAAAACACTTTATTACCACAGAGCCTCTCTCCACCCACGCGTTTAATAGGGTGTAGGTGAACTGTCATGAAAATCTTACGAAATACCTGGGGTAACCTGTGATAGATTAGTGTCCCATCCAGGAGGAGAGGGAGTAGCAAAACGTTCATTCCATTCAAATTGGGATAAGTTCCGGCTGGATGGGCCATTTGGCTTGAGTGCACACTCCACTTACGTGAGTCCGAACGTGACTCTGAACAAAGGTAACTTAGCGAGGAGGGGTTAATCTAGTTTGGCTATTCTTTACATGCAAACGATCACAAGCCAACGCATTTCACATGCATTCGCCAGAAATTCCTATGACTTAATCTCCTTTAAAATATTTCCCCTATAACATAATTTTACATCATTTCCCTTATCAAATTTTTCCTGATTTAGTGTAGTTTCAAAATTATTTAAATATTTCCGATCTTTTGCAAGGCTGAGGACTAAAATCCAGTGCATGCAAAACAATTTGGCGAAATACATTTCAAAGTTACTACCATATATCAAGGACAAACTCATTTACCTATCATTTCAAAATAACTCCAATGGGAAAACTCGAGCCAGTCTCCCAACCAATAAAGATGCAAAACTGTTTCCAATCATGATTTAGTCACTAGCATTCATGAGTTTCTAATGTTAACGGTGCCTTTACGAAACTTAAAAACAAAGTGCACATTGAACGTGATCGTCCATAATGAAAAGGTTTTCCTTTATGTCCTCCAAACTAATTTATATCTCGTTTATATTTGGAAAAAGGAAGACAAGGGAATGAATAATTTCGACAAAGACAAAGATTTTCATGAGTAAAATCACATTACAACTTTAATTTTTTTCTTTTAGCATAAACACAACTCTTTTCAGTAATCATGGCTCTTCTATAAATTATATTATCTCTGAGCAAAACTTGTGTAATAATCTTAGGTTCATGGGCCTTAGAGAGGCCTTCAACATCACGTGCAAAATACTTTTTACTTTTAGCAGATTGCTAATATAACAAGTAGTCATAAGGACTCAATCAAGAGACGGAGGATTAATACATGAGAATAAACACATCTTTTGGCCCTACTCCGAAGGGTATATTCCAAAGTTGTTGGGAAATCATTGCAGTTTTCGAAGAAAGAGATAACCCGTTTGATCTCGCGAAATTGTCGTATGTTGACATTCCATGTAGGATCTTTCATTCTCCGATAATACATTCGAACGATAAGCGAGATCTTCATAACATATTCAAAAAAACCTGAGTCCGAAGATAACTTGGGAAAATTACCTTTGGAATAAGGCCTGTCTGCGGTTTCAGCCTCTCAGCTTCATTCTCTTACGGTTCTTAACAGATTGGTTTTGCATCGCATACATAAGACTATAAGGCTAGCAATAGAATTTAAAGTACCCTTAACTAGTCTTCAAAATCAGACCACCCTTCCTTACATCTATCTGAATAACAAAAGAGACCTAAAGAATTTGGTGCGGTTAATTACTAATATTGAGAGATCACTAACGACAGCTACCGAGTATTTTTGATGTGAATGTACTATCCCTGCATGTACATCACGGTATCTTGATTAATAAAGCAAATTGTTGGATAGGTTGCATTTATTGTGAGATTGGCACTGTGTTTTAATTCCAGCTTTGGTTCGCTTAGGAGGTTTGCCTTCGCTACAGAACGAGGCTGACGGACAGTTTTCCAAGTCTCATTAAATGACACTAATTATCCAGATAGCCAAGGAATGGCCTCTTGTGTTGTTCCCAAGACTCTTACTGAACTTCCAAATTCTTCCGAGAATAGTTATATAGAGATTGATATATTAAAAATGTAATAAAAAACCACTACATCCATTTTCACTCTCATTACCGTGTAAACACATTTAAACTTTGAATTCCTTTTACAAATTACGTAGGAAATATTTCAATTCGTTAAAAGGCCACAGCAAGATAGTCAAAGTTTTGCCATAATAGGTAAATTCATGCTCTATGGTACCTAAATAAAAAAAGATAGAATTTGAGGTTATTCGTAATTTGAACACATTCAGTGTTCTTTAGGTTCACTACAGAAGCCCTCTTCATTGTGACCAACCCAACTGAGAGTGAGGTTAGTCCGATTTTATTTGAGCTATGAAGCTCTTGAGTTTCAAATATGGTAAAGTTCACTAATTTTGGGCGACGTACTTTCATGGTGCACGATTAGAAATCCTTGACTTAACAACTGTCATAGGTGAAATACAATAAGAAATTTGCTAGAGTTCATACGAACAAAAAATACTAATAAATCAGTGTTCCCCCACAAACCTTGTAAAAATCGTTTCGGTACGCAATAGTTTGCAATGCCAATGAACCGGGCTGTCGGAATTGAAGTAGAGTTAGATGACTGGTTCAGTTACAGCCGAGGAATCTTCTCACTCACAGAATGATGCAATAGTTTGCATGTTTTCTATCCTCGTCACTTGAAATACCCAAGTGGTTAGACACGAAGCTATTAAGGAATTGTTGTACATCTTTATTGCCCTCTTTTTCAGCAATCCCCATTGCGGTGTCTCCATCATGAGTGCGCTTCACAATCATCTCTACCCCTTGTTTGAGGAGAGCATCAGCCACTGCCACTGTCCCGTCCTTGGTAGCAGAATGATGTAAGGCATTCCATCCATTCTTGTCCACAGCATGCGTGTCAGCTCCATGCGTCAGAAGGAAACTTACTAACTCCGGGTGACTGTAGCGGGAGGCGATATGTAGGGGAACTGAACCGTCTCCCGCTTGGCAGTTTAACTGCATGCCAAGCTTTTTCATTCGTTCGATTACCTTTTTGTGGCCTCCACGACAAGCGTAATGAAGAGTATTCCATCCCTCATTGTCAACTTCGTAAATGTTACCACCCCGTTCTAATAAGCAGTCAATGACGTCATTATGCCCTTTTAACCCAGCACAATGCATAGCGGTGACGCCTTGTTGCGTTTTCTGGTTGGGATCCACCCCACTTTCCAGTAGGATTTCCACGATCTTTACGTGACCCTCGAGGCTTGCTAAATGCAATGCCTTCCTTTCTTGGTTATCAGAAGCTTCTACATTGGCCGCATGCGACAATAATGGAGCAATCACTTCAGTTTGTCCGCTCTTAGCAGCAAGAAGAAGGGGGGTTAAATTGTCTCCGGTCGTGCAGTCCACCTCCACACCAAGCTCCAAGAGTAGTTCAAGAATAGTCACGTGACCATGATGACTTGCGATGTGCAATGCATTCCACCCGTCGTTGTCGGCGATGTGCTCGTCAGCTCCCTTCGAGAGAAGTAATCTTACTGCTTCTGGGTGATCGTGGATCGTAGCAATACTAAGAGATGTTCTCCCGTCCGTTGTTTTTTCACTGGTATCCAAGCCAAGCTCGAGTATTGTTTCTATTGCGATAGTATGCCCATTTTGACAAGCAAAGTGTAACGCGTTCCAACCTTGGTCGTCAACAGCCTTAAGATTTGCTCCTTTAGAAACAAGTAGGTTTAAGGCACTTGCGTGGCCGTTGAATGCTGCGGAATGAATAGGGACCAGGCCCCTCTCAGCTACAACGTTTGGTTCCAATCCGTAGCTTAATAAAGTTTCGATCAAATCCGTTTGCCCTCCTTGACTGGCAAAGTGAAGGACAGTCATTCCTTCGTTATCCACAACATTTAGATCAGCCCCCTTTGAGAGTAAATACTTAATACAATCCTGATTTCCGCGCAATGCTGCAATACCAATGGGCATCAAACCAGAATTTGTTCCGACGTTTGGGTCAATTCCCTTGTTAAACAATTTCTCGACAACTGAAAGCTCACCACCCTTGCAGGCATGATGCAAAGCAGTCCACCCCTGATTGTCTCGAGCTAAGATGTCTGAATTTTGAGTTGAAAGAAAATCTACGTACTCTGGAAGGCCATGCCTAGCCGCAATGTGTAACGGAGTTATTCCTAAGACTGACTTGGCATTTACATCAAGACCTTGATTTGAAATTGATTCCATGACATGGAAGGGAAGGCGACCACCTTGAGTGGCGTAATGTAATATAGTCCAGTTATCTTTGTCAGTAGCTGTTAGGTCAGCCCTCTTACGCATGAGATACTTTACTACTTCGGGCTGGCCGTAACGCGCTGCAATATGAATTGGAATAGTTCCCTGAACTGTTCGAATGTTGACATCTACTCCTGTTTTAAGCAGCGCTCGAATAACAGATATATGGCCACCCAGGCTGGCAAAATGCAAAGCAGTCCATCCACATTTGTCAGAGGAGTTTGGATCAGCTCCTTTAGAGATAAGAAAATCGACTACATCTGGATGCCCGTGACAGCTTGCAATCATCAAGGGAGTGCAGCCTCCGTTGATTCTGGTGTCCGCCTCCATACCACTTTTTAGCAGTGTCTCTACCACTTCAACGTGACCGTTTTGACAGGCAGAGTGTAGCGCGTTCCACCCATCCTTGTCCACAACATCAATATCTGCCCCACAGGAAATTAGAAAGTCAACAGCCTTGAAATGACCGTTTCGTGCAGCAGTATGTACTGGTGTAGGACCGTTTTTGGGTGGGATGTTAGATTTTATTCCATGTTTAAGAAGAACTTCGATAACAGGGACATGACCACCACGGCTTGCCAAAAACATTGCAGTCCTTCCATTTCCGTCCAATGCGTTTCCGTTACCACCGAAGGTCAAGAGAAGGTTCACCGCCTTCTCGTGGCCGTTGGAGGCAGCCAAATGCAAGGGTGTAGCACCGGAATTTGTTTTCACGTCGGGGTCAATACCATCCACCAACAGAAGCTGCATAACAGTAACATGCCCACCTGCGCTCGCCCAGTGTAGAGCAGTCCAACCTTCTTCGTCCACTGAATGGGCATTAGCACCCAAAGAGAGGAGATACCTGACAGTATCTGGGTTTCCATATCGCGCGGCTATGTGTATGAGAGCCATGCCATGAGCTTTTGCGTTTGCACCGACCCTTTTTACGGCTAGTTTTTGAACTGTTTTTATATCACCATATTTGCATGCATTCCACAGTTTTGACAAAGTTCTTTTGTTCGCTTGGACTACTCCTTCATCATGACAGCCTGTCACCATTCTTCAGTGACATCTCATGCCACCGGGGTTGTTTTCAGGTTTTGCTACTGCACCTGTGTTGTTATACCTTCAAGGAAAAGTCAAAGTACGGTACGTTAAAATAATTTATTGTCTGTTTAGGCTTCTATTAATCAATCGTTGTTCCCAAACTACTCCCACATAATTAATTTTCGAACGTTACATTTAGCATTAAATGACTTGTGTTGATCTTACAAAATAAAATTGCAAACTTTACGCAGAGTGACTTTCATTAGCGTTTGATCTTTTGTAATTTTAAAATTATGTAAACAAAGCTATGGCTCATGAAATTGAATTGTTTCATTAATCTTTTCTCGCGAAGCCTCCCCCGCAAAAGCTAACGGAGATGCAATATTCATAGTTGAATAGCAGTTATAATTACATGTTTTTTAAATGTTTTAAATTTGGGGTCGATGGTTATAGTTCTAATTTGAGAGTAAATAGAACAACATGGATATCTTGTTCTGTCGAAAAATGTTTGTTTACAAAAGAGGAAAAAATTAAACGATCTTGATTCATATCATTCTGTTTAATGGAGAAAGATGAACCCCTACAGTTCACACATCGCTGAATATGCATGGACCTTAGAGAATTGCTCGAAGAACCGTTTTACATGGGCTCTTCATATTCCATTAAACGAATTAGTTTCCAATAAGCATGCGGCACAAAGAAATAAAAGGATGGGCTGGTCGCCGAGATTGGAAAAATTTAAGACGGGTAAATCAGAATCACCGACTTCGCAAAGATTAATCAAGACTAAGCATTTCGTTGAAAGTGCTTTACTTTTTCCATAATTAAGTACGATTTAAGATGTACACTAATAAGATCTTTTATAAGAAAAAGCGAGTCGCCTCTAACCAAAGGTTGATTTCAACCCACAGGTCTACACGATCGTAGGTATTTCAAAATTCCTCCCTGTCCAAAGTTGGTTATTTCATAATTCTAGAAGCAACAGAAGAGAACTAAACGACATATTTTCTTGGCAACTCGGCACTATAACAGTTCAAAGAGGCAGATAAACAAAAATGAAATTCCAAACCACGACAGTAGCACTAAATGCAGGATGGACCAAGATATTCATCAAACACAGATCGCAGTCACGAAAGCGAGCAAGTTATCTGCAACGATTGCGTGGGTTGGTGGTAATAAGATGTTATAAATTTTCGCAACCATCTGTAATTATAGTGAAGGGGCAAAAAATCTTCAAAAGGAAGTCTCGAGTTCCCGTTCATTATCAACAACGCAGCTACAAAGCGAAATGTTGGCCATTGTAAGACGTAGAATGTGGTTGAAACCTACCGTTGGTTTCGAAGGTTGCCGTCGAACAGCCCTAGCACGAGTATATTTTTTACCACCTTCAGCATTACATTCGCAATTATATTTCTTTACACTTGATATTAAAATGAAGCAATTAACGCTCCGAAGCCGTGGAATAAGTTAGAAACAATGAAGAAACCCATAAATTTATCATTATAAATGTTTTGAGAGTACTTTCACCAGTTTACGTTTATTTACGGGAAACGCGGCTGCAGTAGTCAAATACTAAGGAACAAGTCTACGTTAGGAATTCTACATCCGCCTTGGAACCCTTGAGGTCGACCAACCTTTTCAAACAGATTCTCATATGTAGAACGAGAATTCTCTCACTGTTGAATATTCAGTACTACAGTCAATCTATTATCCCAACCTAACGACGCTTTGAAACCTTTCATTAGCCATAAGAAACATACATTCATTACCGCATGATATTGATGGCCAAAACCTTAAAAAAATAGCTCGAGTACGACCTTCGTTTGAATATTTTGAACCCGCACGACATACTATGTTTCTTATTTTAAAAAGTTCTACAGAGGAGACATGTATGTCTTACATTACCCATTTCCAAACTTGCGCCACGTTCCGTCAATATTTTCAGTCAACATAAATTGAACTCAAGTAATTTATTCCATCTAGCACGAATAAATCAAAATGGCAGGTCCTCGCTTTATTTACACAAAATACCTTGCAGGCGATCTGTATTCATTTTACCACTGCCACTAATAACGGCGGATCATAATTTTTCCAATCCAAATTTGAGATATTTTTTCTTCTCAAAAACAATCTCCACGTAAAGTTTTTAATTTCCTGACCTCTGAAGTAAGACCTACTTGTTTCAAATCGGACATTTGATTCGACAAACGATTAAACTCACAGAATATTTTGGGGATGATTCTGGTTTACAATTCCGGTCAATTTCCATTTTCATTAAATTCTGATGCAGTTTTTGAACGACAACTTCTATTCATCCTTCCTTTCAACGGTTCGAGTAAAAAACGCCAATAAAAACACTAGTAACCTGAAAGGTTATCTCAGATCTATGAATTGACTTACATCATATATTACTCATACATACATCAGTCAATACCGCCATCTCGTCATACAAGGGACTTGAAATAACAAATACCAAATCCGTTTAAAATACCAAACCCTTTGGTTTTTGTGTGAAGAACCTAACGTAAAGCTGACATTTCGAGAAATTTTATCCAAACCATTACAATAAAAGCTTCAGATACCTTTCAGGTCAACGAAGAGTCCACCAAATTGCTGGAGGTTCTACTCTTGCATCAAAGTTCCTGCGAAAGCACACAAAATGCAAAATTACCAAAAATATAAACAAAAAGCTCCACACAGCGGGGAAACGCGGATAGCCCACTAACCGCCACAATGTAACGAGATCCTGGCTTTGTATAGCGCAGGTGAAAGGCCATTGGAAAGCTTCGACCTGCTCGATGTAACGTTCAAACGGGCACTTCCGTTTTGTCAGATACCCTAGTTTGTGCCTATAATGGCTTTCCCTGTTTAAATTGAGCCGTTTTGGTGAAGCTTGAATTTGATGATTTTTACCTTTGTATGAATATTAACAACTTTCACTGACTTTGTGAGGTATACATAATTTATGTTTTCGGGCGCGAAGCGTCGGGTGGCCAAAGCAGTTGCGTTGCAGTTCTGAAACACAAGAGTGCCTATTACAATCATTTTTTCCCATTCTATGAGCTCTCAAATTTCCTTCGAGTCCATTAAGACCGAGAGATACCTATTCTCGTTACTAAGTAATTGGAATTTGAACTCCGTATTCAATTCTCTGCTTCATTTTCCGTCGACTAATTGCATATTACAATAATTTGTTAATCAAAAGAATATACACGTTTACTTATTAATCCGAGGCCTATTTCAAATTCACTTCGGAATTATACCGAACATGTCATCTTGTTCGCAACGCGAGGCGTTCATTTATTTGCGGCCGTGGCCAAAGTGCCGATGACTTTCTAAAGCCTTACGGCATAATTGTCTTCATACTAAACCAGATTGACTGAAATATAATATAAAATAAATAATTTTTTAGTTCCTTCTTAAACATATTTTACAATATTTGTTCTATGAAATGCTTTGTCTCATAACATTTACCAAGATGATGTCTTCAACAGACCGATGTTTGTCGAAACATTAACAAAAAAAGCAGAAGGGAAAAGTAAAATAAAATATTTGGGAAAGTAAGAACAACGAAATGTTCCTTTAAAAGTCGATACATCTCTTTGCTCCTGTATCTTGTTCTTCACAGAAGCCAATTCAGAATTTTTTGCGAGAAATTCACCGCACCGCAAGACCACGTTATAGCGACTCATTAACATCGCAGCAATAACTATTTTTTATGACGCTCTACTTTTAAAGTTGACACTACGATTACCACCTCTTTTCTTTTCATTTTATTCATTGATCTAAAAGCAAAACGTAATGGAAACCTCAAATAACTCCAAGACAGAATGAATGATTTCAATAGCGTTTGATCTAAAAATGTCGGCCCTCAGCATTCACGTTAAATCGAATTTTTTTGATGAATTGCATCTACGCTCTGTTGACAGAGGACCACCTTTAGCCATCGCTGTTTGTTTCTTATCCAAGGACCAATAAACAGGACGTTCACAAGACAAACCTCTAAATTGAATTACCTAATAGATTTTTCATTGCATGTCAATCTGAAAGGCAAAACCGACATAACTTACTAGTAAGAGGAAGATGTTTTGCCAATCCCCAGAAAAAAAATACATCCAAGTGATTTCAAACGACAATTGTGCAAACGTTGTCGAACTTTGAAGCGACATTTGTCAAATGAGGATAGACTAATCCTTCAAGGTGATAGATGGAAAGGAAACTCGGATTAAAATAATTGAATTAATACATTTTTTACGGCGCCTGGTTTCTTATCAAAAACAGTTTTACCAGGATTTTATTTCCCCTCTCGTCGAATGTTAATTCCCCCGTTTTGTCTTCAACCTTATTGAAAGATCTATCTGAATTCTGGCTTCCTATTTTCCATCAAGAACAATATGACTACACATCATTTCCGAAGTTTTTAAAAATTAAAGTTAGCTGCAAAAACATAATCAAACGCCACAGATAAATCACTAAAACTCTACGAAAAATATTGGCTTTTGACTGTCAATATATTATGCTTACCTCCATTCATTCCCACGGCGTCTATATTTCAGCGTCTTGGTGCATTTACTACAAGTTCAATGCCATTGCATGCATGGAAGCTAAAACCACAACTCTCTTAATTAACGCAGTTCGAGGTGTTGTGGTGACAGGTGCCTTTGAATTACTATGCCGAACTTATAATTATTCACTTGATGTGGCATACATAACATGTCACGAATTGTAAATCTCTGATAATCACGCGGGCCCAAAAACGCAATTCGAATTAACCAGTAATTTCAGTTGGGTCTTTCCGTACAACTTCACTACTAGGCAGTAAGCCAAACATTTTTTCGTTGGTTTTCCTCTATTTTCAAAGTCAAACAATGGGATATTTTATCGCGAAAGATACAGCAGCCCCAGCATGCCGATATTTCAAACCGCAGAGAAATAGAGAAGGTGGAAACTCTTAGGCTGGAAAACGAAAATCATCCTTCATACCCGGATATCCTCAAAACCCAATGAAACTC